ATGGTTTGGATGAAACTCAGACCAATTAGGTGGCCGGTTTACGTCTATTCCGGTCGGATTAGCCGGTCCGGTCAGATTTTTAATAACAACACCACACACACTATAGGAGTTCCTAAAATCATGAATCAACAAATATTAAACAACATCCTCAAAAGAAAGAGGAGCTCTTGCAGCCAACACCTTCTCCTTCTCTTTCTCCACAAGAGCTTCCATGCCTAAACACTTCTGCTTCATTTCCTTCAACTCTTCCTCCATTTCTTGAAGCCCATTCTCAATAGCCTCCTCGTTCTCCTTCTTTTCTAACACTTCATCAAGTTTCTTCTCTAACCAATCCAATTTAAACCCAACATCTCTCATGGATCCTAGTGCAGCATACGCATCATACAAATCATCCTTGGAAATTTCTTGAGGTGATTTACACATTGTCTCAATCAGACTTAGTAGCAAACTCATGTAACCCGTCCTAAGATTTGGGTCCTTTGGACGGAATTCAGATGCAATCTCTGGGTGATTTTCAAACACACGGCTCACTAATTTTGCCTGCCATTGGAAAAAAAAGGGTGAATAAAGTAGAATAGACATGTACACAAAGTTTTGTAAAGTTCTTAATTTCTTACTTGTGAAGGAAGAAATTGAAAACCATTAACTTCCATGGTTTCTATTATTGTTGAAGTTTTATCAGCTGACACATCTAATTTGCCAATAACTTCAAGAACATGTATCTCAACAACAATTTGAGTTCCCCGTTTACAAGAAATCCGCTATCTTTGACATAGAGCTCATTCAGGGGAAACATGGATGGACGACCCCAGCCTGGAGTCTTCTGCTCAAACCACTGTTGTAACTCCATAAAATCACAAAAATAGAATTCATATCTAAAGTCATTTTACTTACAACAAGACAATGAAAGATTTTAAAAATTTGTAGCTATATACTCTGTCCAAATTATGAGAAGATGGGAAGAAACAGATTATCTAGCCTTGTTACAGTCTAAATGATTATTTTGAGTTAATGATATT